GCTCCTACCCTTTGCAACAGCTTGGGTGGAGCTGGAAAGCATTATGCTAAGTGATATAAGCCAGGCAGTGAAAGACAAATACCACATGATCCCACCTTTAACAGGAACCTAAACAACAAAACAAAGAAACAAGCAAAATATAACCAAAGACACTGGAATAGAGAACAGGCTGACAGTGTCCAGAGGGGAGAAGGGAGGGGATTTCAGGGGAATTTCAGGAGAAAAGGGAAAGGGTTTACAGGAATAAGTATAAAGGACACATGGACGAAAACTGGGGGGGTAGGTGGAAATGGGAGGGAGGTGGGGAGGGCTGGGTGTGTGGGCTGGGATGGGAGTAAAAGATAGAAAATTGTTCTTGAACAACAATAAAAATAAAATAAAAGAGAAAATCTTAAAAGCAGCAGAAGGAAAGCAATTAGTGATCTACAGGGGAATCCCCATAAGGCTGTCAGCTGATTTCTCAAAAGCAATTGTGCAGGCTAGAAGAGATTGGGAAGAAATATTCAAAGTCATGAAAAGCAGGGACCTATAGTCAAGATTGCTCTACCCAGCAAAGATATCATTTAGAATTGAAGGACAGATAAGGAGCTTCCCAGATAAGAAAAAAACTAAAGTTCATCATCAGCAAACCATTATGATATGAAATGTTAAGGGGACTTATTAAAGAAAAGGAAATAAAAAAGTATGAGCAACAAAATGGCAATAAATGCACAACTATCAACAATTGAATCTGAAAAACAAACTAAGCAAACAAGAACAGAGACAGAATCATGGCTACAGAGAGTGTTCTTATGGTTGCCAGATGGGAGGGGAGGCATGGGGGAATGGGTGAAGAGGTGAAGGGGTTAAGAAGTACAAATAGGTAGTTACAGAATAGCCATGTGAATGTAAAGTACAGTACAGGAAATGGAGTAGCCAAAGAACTTACATGCATGACCCATGGAAATGACCAATGGTGTAGGGATGGCCTGAGGGAATGGGGAGTGCTGGGTTGAGGGGGACAAATGGGGAAAAATTGGGACAACTGCAATAGCATAATCAATAAAATATAATTTAGAAAAAAGGAAGAAGCCATACTCTAGAAGCCGGACTTACTCTTGTTCATCACTGTGTCTCTAGCACTTAGAATAGTACTTGGCAGACAGGAGGGATCAAAATCATTTCAAGAAATGACTGCACCAATGAACATGAAAACAAAGACAGCGTGCTTTGAAAAATAGGAGATATACCATGTTTTACTGGGACTATTCTAAAGTCAATAGAGATTAAAAGGAGGGCAAGACGAGGGCAAACTTAAATAGCCTGAGACATGGTAATGAAGTCATCCTGGAAAGAAGGACTTAGATCGACGAGGAGGAGAGGGTAAGACTGGCAAGGACCGGAGATGGGAAAGACCAAATGTGCTGGGAGGAGAACGAAGAGGCTCGGGCGACAAAGGAGAAGGTGTGTGTTGGGGAGCAGTGGGAGCCAGATTGAAGGGAGAGAAGGAGGCAAGTGAGAAGACTGCAGAGGCCTGGAAAAACCACCCATCGGGTCCCACTGGGGCAGGGTTCACATTTTAAAAATCATTTTTCATACCCCCAATTTAATCTCTAAAGAAAAATGAGCCTCAGCAAAGATATAAATCTTAAAAAGGAGTAGGGCAATGGGGCCAATAGCTGATCCTGGGGGCCCACATAAGGGTATAATTTGAGTTATGAAAAAGTCTTAAAATTATAATAAGTTCCATAGTTTACTAAGATTAATGGTTTATCAAAGAATAATAAAAGTCACAGGCCTAAATTCACTAGCAATTTTCACACAAAGATAACCTTTTTTCTTAAATAGAAATTCACTTTTAATATCACAGCAGGGTACATTTAATAGATTTTTTAAAATTTTGTAACTGTTAATATTAACCAGAGAATGATGCCATTCACCAGTTCTGGAACACCTAGGAATAGGCAGACGTCAAACGTTCTGAGTGGGTCTTTATTAGACAGTCACGGTTTTCAAGACAGTTGCAGATAAACCTACAATGGAAATGCCGTAAATATCTTTGCTCTTTCACCAGTCTCTAGCTATATTTAGCAGCACAGTTTCCTTTGTTCAGAAATTGTTCCTGAGTACTCCACAGTTATGTTCTCAAGGCAGAATGCCTTGGACATAGTTAAATGAATGGAGGGCTGCAAGGATGAACGAATAAATAAAACATCAAATGACTGTATTAAGATCTTTGAGATGTAATGGCTATCAGCTTCCTATAAGAACATGCTAGAGCTTTCCTGGCCAGGCCTAAAGCCTCCAGGCTTTTGCAAACATGTCTTTCATATTTAGCAACAGTGAAACTGGGATTAAAATGGAAGAGAAGGAGTGAGAACGTTTATAAGGGAAGAGCATCACTCGAGGCAAGGTTGCTGGTGTTTATGAGTGCAGGGGTGAATTTCCTGTCAGGCTAATGATGCTTCAGTGCCAGGACCCCTCACGTGCACAGGCCCGTCCCGAGGCCCGTGAGGAGCCCCAGTCATGAGTGTACATAGGAGTATGCTCCCGTAAAATCTGCCCAAGTCAGATATAATAAAATTCACCCCCCTAAAGAGGGCCCCAAAGTAAGTTTTAGGCCCACACAGCCTGGGTCTGCCCTGTCTGAGAAGCAGGCAGAGGCCCGGTCGGGGGTGGAAGGCCTGCTGTGACTGAGCGCTGTCAGAGCAGTGAGGTGGGAGCCGGGGTGTCAGTCACTTTCCTGGGTGGTTTCTCATTCCGTTTTAAAAACACGGTTTCCTAGGCTCACGGTTCTCATATCATGACTTACCTTTCTGCTTTTATATCTTCCTTGCAAATGAAGTCACAGGAGACATTTAGCTGTTATAAACTTCATGTCAAGCTTTGAAGTGCTTTTAAAGAGCAGAAATATTTGGCTCACGTGTGGGCTTTGTAGCTATGGTAAATACCTCTTCACTATCTGCAGCTACTGTTATTCCACGCCTCCAGTTTGGAGGAGAGATTCTGCCTATGCATTGAGGCACTAAAAAGAATATTTAGCCATATCTTAGCTCTTTTGTGAGCAGTTTACTTTTATTTCTTCTCACATGGAGCTAATGCTTTTATCACATCGTACTGGTTAAGGGGGGGAAAGCCGTGGAGAGAAGCAGAATACTGATTATTACATCATTGGTTGGCAGTTTCTTCTTAGCTTCTTGAAGGTTAAGTGGTCAAGTAGCTTCCTAATATGAGATCAAGGCATTTCAAAGACTGGCTCATCCACCTGTTTTTTGACAAAGTGCTTTAATAGACTTTGGACAAAATGCAGTGTTTAAAAAGGGAGAAACTGATCAGAGTTAATAGGAAATAAAGATTAAAAAACCATGTTAGAGGTTCCTATATGACTGTTGACATACAGACCACATGACTAGGCACATATCAGAACAAGATATTTAGAAATAGCATTCTTGAGAACAGGTAATAGAAACAAAGGCCACTTATTAAGAATTTTGGATATGTCCAATGTTGAACAATGGCATTTTACTTCCGTCTGTAACTTATTTTATGAAGAGATGATGGAAAATACTGTTACACTCCATAAGTTAAACACTTGACATTTTTATTCCTCAAAATGCAACATTTAAGAAGTCTAGATATGTTTATTAATTAGTGATTATTAACACCCAGTAAACAACATTATGTCTTGTAAAAACACAATCTCTCTTCACAGCATGATGCTGAAATCTATTATTCCCTGATTCCATATGCCGAAATACACTCAAATGGTCACAAATGACCTTAAGCATTAAATAAATGTAAATGAGGACAACACAGGAAATGTGCTTTTGATTGATGACTAAAAGACCAGGTTGAACATCACGTCCAGGAGCGAAGGCCTCCCCAGAAGGGCACGGCAGCCCGCCGCACTGTGGCGCGGAGGCTGTCCTGGGAATGAAGAGCGGCGAGCAGGCCGCTCTTCGTCTGGCCCTGCGGAGGTTCGCGGGCCAGCAGAGCTGGTTTGTTCGCTTACTTGAGAGACTCAGAGCCCGCTGCCCTCTGTGCCCTCCGCCGACATTCTAGTGCAGGATTTAAAAACGCCGATCTGGACACTTCATGACATTTACCAACCAACTAACAGAAAAAAAAATTATTGCTCTCCCATAGCCTCCTCCCAACATGTTGGCCCCTTCGATTTTTAAGCATCATTGCTCTCCATCCGACCCCACCCCCACACTGAGCAGTTGGAGTGGGAGAACACCCTCAACCACCACAAATTAGATGATTAAAAAGTAGATTGTTCTAATAATGTTTGGAGCTAAACATATGATAGAAAAATGCACAAATACAGATATTTCCAGTGAAAACTACAAAATGTTTACTCTTTCCTCTAGGCCCATACCAACAGGGCAAAAATAAAATGGAGCACCTCATTGATGAGGGTTAGCATTTCTCCTAGTTTGCATAAGAATTAACAATATCTAAAAGGGAATGGATACCTAGACTATTTTAAAATCATGGAATCAAGCAGGGTTTCTCAGTTTGGGCACTGTTGACATTTTAGGCCAGGTACTTCTTTGTTGAGGGATAGGGTAAAGGGTCTGTTCTGTGCTGTGTAGGGTGTTTAGCAGTGTCCCTGGCCTCAACCCACCGAATGCCATTAGCAACCCCATCCCCCTAGTCATGACAATAAAAAACGCCCCCATGTTGAGAACCAGTGCAACACAGACATTCACAGAAGGTCCGGGGATGGGTTTCTCCCAAGCTCATACTATATACTCTCTTCCCTAAATAATTCCCCCCCAGTGTATAATATACTTACCTTCAGGTTTTCTCATCTATTAATTGAAGATAATGAGAATGCTTTCCCGCCTTATTATGGGTTCTTGTGACATTAAATAAGATACGTTTCAAGTGAATAGAACAGTGCCTGACACACAGTAAGTTCTCACTAAATGTTAGCTATTATTATTTTTAATCATTACCCACAGTATGGAGAAAAGCAGTTTCAACCAGTGTTTTGATGTAGAAAGGTATCTTACCAGCTTGATATTTTCCGAGCCTTAAACACTCCAGCCTTCTGATTCCTTTCGATGATGTCTCTCACATCTATTGGGCACAGTTAAGAAAGCTTCTGCAGCGATTGTCAATTGACTTTAAAAAGTGAATAAATAAAAGCCCACAAACACAGTAATCTTATCGGACATGGGATCTGCACAGTGAACAGGGAAGAGCTATGGAGTATAATGCAGACAGAGAAGGTTCTAGCCCTGGCTCTACCACCAAATATTGAATTACTTGCCACACACAAGCTCTTTTAATCCCCTGGGCTGCAGTTTAGTTGCCTGGGAAATGTACTCTCAGGGAGCAGCCGGGAAAGGCCCAGGGATACGGGCACTGGTGGAGGGACAGGACTATCCCACAGGTGCCAGGCCCCACTTGCTTAAAAGGCAAAGGTCTCTCAGTCCATGGGGGAGGCAGGCAGTCTTCTGAAATTTTCCAAGTTGAAGTCTTTTCAGTCTCTCAAATGCTGTTAGGTAGGGTGGCGGTGAGCAGCAGGGAAAGACTTGGGAGAAAGTGAGATGAGAAAGATGGAGAAAAACTTGGAGAATGTTTGAGAGGCAGTGAATTACTGAAGACGAAAGCCAATCCAGTGGAAGACCCCCTGAAGAACTGCCCTTACAGACTAATGCTTTGGCCTTCGGCCATCTGCTGGTGTGTAAGGACTTGTATTAAAAGAGCCATGTGTATTGAAAGGTGTTTAGAGGCATTAGTTCATTACATCACACAACACCGTCTTTATGGGGCTCATGGGAAAACCACGTTGGGTCCCAACATGGGAGAAGCTGGACTTCAGGTTGATTAGCTGTGCTTCAGCTTCTGCACACTGTGAGCCTTATAACTGTTCCTCCTTTTCTTTTTGCTCTAGTCCCTGTGCAATCAGGGCCAAATGCATGGCCTACGTCCAACCACCCCAAGAGCTCCTACTGCACGTATTTTCTATATTAACATCCATTCCTCGCTTCGTCATATTTTATATGTTTTTGGCTTTCTAATTTCGAACTGCCCCCACTCTCTCCTTTATTTCACATGGTATATTCTATGTGCCACTGTAAGAAACCTCAAAATCTTTCTTTTGGAATAGGGCAGGTTTAAAAATAAACAAGAAATAAAATAATTCCAGCAAAGGCCGCAAGCTGAACTAAATTGTGCGCATGGGGAGGACACCAAGCAGACAAGCGATGTTCCCCCATTGCTCAGAAAAACAGATTTCCTGAGTGCTTGAAACAAGCATCGGCCAAGGTCTCCCTGCAAGAACAGAGCCACAGGACTTTTTAACCCAAATCTCTGCTTGAAACACCAGGCACACCCATTTCTTCTCTGAGTGAATAAGCAGGTACTGTGATAGCTTTCTTCCCTCAGGAGTGGGTAGGAAAAATCAATTAGGTCTCCTAATGAAGGGCTTTGTTGAGGTTTACAAAAGTGCTATAATGCAGACTTTTTTTTTTGCTGGATGAACTTTCCTGTATGCAAATTAAATACCGTTAAATTACATTCATTAAAAAAATAAAAGAGACTAATTTGCCTACTTGTTTTGATTAACTAAAATGACACATTGGCCTACAGTTCTATTTCAGGAAGAAAGTATTTCAGGAAAGTCTTCTACATGAAACGTCTTGTAGAAAAGGACAGCTGACATCTTTATTCTGAGAAGAACAAAATTAGTAGAGTCAACTGACAACTGTTTTTGATTAAGCACTGCCCCGCCCCCCCAGCCACACCTTACTCAGTGTTTCCATGACATCCACCAGCAAGCCATAATGTGGCAGGTACATCTGTAGCGTCGTGTAAGTACATGACTAATCTATCGGGCAAAACATGCTATTTTGTTAGTGAAGGTGATACTTTTTATAAAATAGTCATAGGGAAGTTAAATTATATAACTCAGAAAACCTATTAATAATTTTTGGTAAACATCTGAATACCATATACTCTTATACAATTTATAAACCTGTGACTCCAGGTGGTCAGGCTGAAGCAAGCATATGTATTTATATTCTAGAAGCAATTTTTTAAATGAAAAAAATTCATAGCAATATTTAGGCTGCTTTATTTTTAGAACTGGAAAGAAAATATATTTTGTGGTTTTGGAGGTGTTTTTTACATTAAAACAAGTACAAAAAAGAGAAAAAAAGTCAACAGTGTGTTAAAATATTATCTGAAAAGACATATGGACATTCTGCCCCCCACCCTGTACTTTAGGTCAGGATAGTTTTGAACAGGACGGACCCAACTGTGTTCTCTGAGCCTCACCCACCTTCCGGAAGACTTCGGCGGCAGGGGCTGGGTGCACAGAAGGCTGTAGTGATTTCTGATTAAGTGGATACAGAGTAATCACCTCCAATCGCCTGGTCTGGGCAACTGGACTTCCAGAGCTACAGGACATGCACTTGTGCCTAAAAGGAAACCGGGATTCTAGCTCCAGATTTTCATCCCAAATAAAGCACAGTTGAGGAGTGCGGCTCCATTTTAATTTTGTTTCAGTTGATTTTTATTCCTAAACTATATATTTTTGTATAATAACAATAAGTTATCTAAATAAATTATGTTATATATTATATATAAAACATTTAAAACATTAACCTCCTTCAGCTACTAGTAACTGTAATATTTATCAGTACTTCATATACATTTTGAGAATTGGCATTACTCTTTAAGCAAGAAAATATTTTAACAATAATAACACTGTAGCTCACTAGGCATTACTTTCTTGGTTCACGTTTCCTTTATTTGCACTGGAACATCAAAGGTGAAGGTAGGAAACTATGAAATTGTAATATAAATCCTGTTGATTTTGATCCCTAAAGTCTCTTAAATTACTTGATGTGACAATATTTGCTAATGTAAAGGCTGCAAAAGATTCTTAAATGTGTTTATTACTCAGATGAATTGAGAAGATGACGTAGAAGCATTTTGAGCTCTTTCAGCACTGTCACCTGTGGCCTGTGGGCGGGAGAACGTCTCTTCCAGAGGGTGCTGAGCCAATGCAAGACGACACTCACCAGAGTGTTGTAGCTCTTCGCAAACCAGAATTGTTTAATGGGAAAAAATACACAGGGGTGGGCAAAAATAGGCTTATAAAGAACTCTGTGCCAAAGTGTGCGTGAGTATAGCAAGTAGGTTACAACAATGTGTAAATAATGAAGGTTGGCATTTTGAGTTAATAAAACTATTGTAATAATCACAACCTGCATGTCTTTTTCCATACAAACAACTATATAACCTACTTTTATTCACCTCTGTTGACACTTTGAAATCAAACACTTTGAACCTGGCTTCTAGAGCTGGTTCCGATTTTTAGTGGCTGTGTGAACTCAGATAAATTAACCTCTCCGCGTTCCACCTCAAAAATAGAAATAATCATACCTACTACAATGATGCCTACTATAAAGTCTTAATGGAGCATCACACATATGAGGAGCCTGACACATAGTAGGTGAGTAATTCATGTCAATTCATTTTATTTTTCAATAATTCAAGTAAAGGCTTTGGAGGGAATGAAGAGGCTGGTAATTATAACTAAAATGAGGTTTGGCAATTAACTCCATCTCCTTTCCTTGCTACTCAGAACTAATTAAGTGAACATTTATGTAGTAGAATAGAAGTATCTGGAGGGAATCAAAGAACTTCTGCTATGTAGATTTCCAGTGTCTTTCACCTACATCAAGTGCTCTAGCCAAGGCAGGGTCTGTGTCCCACAAAGACAGGGGCTTGGTCTACCTTGTCACCTGCTATATCTTTAGCACCTGAACTGCATCCAGTTAATACTGGTTGAATTAATTTAATTTAATTTTTAAAAGAATTTATTTATTTATAGAGAGATGGGGAAGGGAGGGAGAAAGAGAGGGAGTGAAACATCAATGTATGGTTGCCTCTAGCACACCCCATACTGGGGATATGGCCTGCAACCCAGGCACATGCCCTGACTGGGAATCAAACCGGTGATGCTTTGGCTCGCAGGCCTGGGCTCCATCCACTGAGCTACACCAGCCAGGGCTGAATTAGTTTTAATAAACTAAGTTATCTGTTGAGTTCTTACCCAATGTGAGGCACATGGAGCCCATTTATGACCCACTTAGTAAGGAGAAGAACTGGCATCAACATCTCAGCTGTCACTGGCACTGGAGAAAGGGGCCTGGGCACAGGACGATGGCCTGGCATTCCCGAGGTCTCACCCACCCCACAACACAGGCTGCACGGTCCACATGAAGCTTATTTTATTTATCCCTTAAGCCAGGAATTCTGTTAAAATAATGTTAAACCAAAGGTATCTCCTTTAAAATGTACAGGAAATTTACCAATTTTTGAAGAATCTCACATTTCACATCATGGTCCAGACTGTGCAGGCTGTGCAGAGAAGATGCTGGGGTCAGGAGCACGAGAGATGGGTCACCGAGCATTGCCATGTTCTGCAGATAACACACTCGGTGTTTGCTAAGGATGGGCTAAGGCGGGGTGCTGGTGTTGAGTGAATTCTCCTTTAGGGGCTGTACTTTTATTCATTATGGTCTGGAAGAAGCTGAGCATGAAAAACAACTGAGTATATCCTTTCTCTCCCCTATTGCTGTGCCATTGCCATCACCAGCCACAAACTTTATGGAGTGGTAGTTATCTGTGGGCAAAATGTATTAAAAAGTTACCTGAACAGATGTATTCTGACATTCTGCTCCCCACCCTCTACTTTAGGAGGTCACTTTACTTGGAGAAGTCCTCATTCCACTAAAAGGGCAGTGCCAAAGAAAAAGGAACATATTGCACACTCTTTTAGGATAAAGTTGAGAGATAGATGAACCAAATAATGTCATTTTCTAACTTGTCCTTTGTTCTGTTTGGGCATAGCTGAATTACAGCATCTGTGAGGAGAGGCAGCTCTGAGGCAGAGGCTGTGTGTGGGAGCCAGCAGTGCAGTTAGTTTAAGGACCAAGGAGAGCCTCACGGGCATCTACCCATGAGTCTGAGAAAATATTCAGGATTTACAACATTCACTTACACCTGAAGTCTTAATCTCTTTTTGGATATCTCTGTTGAACAACTCTCAGATCAACATCTAGCTTTCCAGGGTCCAGGGAGAAAGCTCTAGAAGACATAGCCAATCCACATGATACATTTTAGGAATAAATAAACTAACCTCACAACTGGTTGATACAGTTCTATGATATAAAGATTCAGAATGTATTCTTTCATTGCCTCAAATGTTTAAAGAAAAACAGAAACAACAGAAGATAAAAAGGAAATATCAGGAACTGCTTTATTTTTTAAAAAAGGTAAGAATCAGAATGTTAGAAGATTAAGAGACTAGGAAGTAAGGCTCAGTTAGATTCATTAAATTCAGATGCCAAGAACAACAAAAATAATTTTTAAAGTGATGAGAATAATATACAGGCCAATACTCAGATGTGATGTGCGACTGCCAGGTCGATTTTCAATTACATTTCGCTGATGTATTCATTTGTTTCTTAATGTGCTCATCTTGCCCATTAAGAATAATTAGCAGCTTTGCTTAGAGATTTTCTGGCTTCTGGCAATGTTCACCCCCCCCTTTTTTGTTGACATCCACTTTTACTTTTTACAAAGTAATTTTTGAATAATATCCTACAACTGCTATATAATTTAGGCTTCGTAAAATTTTAAAGGAAAGATGTAAACAGTAATTTTTAAATGAGTCTGTTTCCATCTATGTGCATCAACAGTGTGTGATTCAGTGAATTAGTTATTCTAACAGAAAATGGGCACACAAACAGAAACAAAAATTTCATTCATATTAACCTCACCCGTTAAAAACGCTTACGATGAATGCCAGTTGTGAGCTTTGTTAGTAAATCAAGAATATCATTAGTATTAAGAGCAGGAAAAACACATAGCTGATTTTTGAGGCTTTATGTATGTTTTTTCTCTCTTAGTTTTAAAAAATTAGATCTAGTTACAACAGAAAAATGCCCACAAACATAGAACAACTGCATGACAAACGCTGAACTCCACCAGGAAAGTCCTGAGAGATGAAATAAAACACTACCAGTTTTGGTCTGCATCCTGAAAGGACCTACTTTATCTACATTGTAAAGTTCTTCCCCTCCCGCCCTTTGGCACCCCGCTATATTAAACCCATTGTAAAACCCAGCACAATAAAGCACTCTCAGGGCTGAGCTTCTGAGGACCAAATGTTAAAAATCCATTTTCTTGGGAGGGGGCTGTACCAATCATTTCTTTGAAAGGCCAGCAGAGTGAATACAGAATCTGAGATTTCCTCTCTGATTTCAAGAGCTGGCATGGCATCTTTGCTATTTAAAGCAAAGGTGCATTAATTAATGACATTGGCATTGCTTCCCTCTTTGGAAGCTCTGCAGTTTAGCTCAATAATAATTTTAGTACAATTAAATTTACATATTGACTACAGATGCTTCCCATAGTTTGTTAAAAGTTCTGAGGCTATTAAATAAGACACCTGCTGACTTAAGAAAAACCTCAGGTTGCTGGGCCCACTCTGAAAGTTTCTATGGCTAAAATGACCTTCTCTGGTCCAACAATTCGGCTCCCCCCGCCTCAAAGAACACATCCACTGGGGCTGAGCCAGCATACCTGGCTTCCTCTCGCTCTCTGTGTTCCCTGACGTGCGGAGGAGGAGCACAGTGAAATGATACAGTGCAGGAAATAACTTAGGATAAAAGCAGAGTGAATGAACAACATCAGCTCGTCTTCAGGAATATTTTGAGAAACCTGCGACAGTCATGATTAAAATCCTGCACTTTAAAAAAGGAAGCACCTTTTGTGATCTCTTTTCCTTGTGTGAAAGGCCAAGACTGTGATTGGCTGTTTTTCCTTCCTGAATTTTTTTTAAGTCTGCCAGGCAATTAGCTGGGTGGGGCTCCGCAGGGCACACGAGTGCTGCTGAGCAGTATTAGCTGCTGTGCTTCTCATACTTCCTTCTCCCGTGTGAGCAGCCTGATGGAGCTGCTGCGAATTTCATTTTCAAAAAATTACATAGCGGAGGTAGAAAAGGAAAATCAAAAAAAGCCTTTATGTAAGATGCCACACACACAAAAAAATCAGACCTGCTTTGACATTTTAGGAGTCTCAAATTCAAATAAGGAGATTACCTCCTTCACAATGTAAATGTAAGGCACACCAAAAAATCCAAAGCAAATATATCTTCCACTTTTCCTCTCAATTCCTAATGGCTGTTAACTGCCCCTGAACAAATCAGCTCGATTGCTAAAGTAGCCACAAATTATGCTTGCTTCTTCTTAAAGTACAGTTCAATTTTCATGAACTCTGTGTACATATTAGTAAAGCATAATCTAATATAATGGGGTTTGAACTGTAATAGCATGGCAGGAAAAAAAGAGATAGCTTTTATAATCCTAAATAAAAGGAAATAATGAAAACCTGATAGCTTTTTCCAGCAGGGAGATAGAAGCAACTCCTCAGCAATTAGAGTAGGTATAATATTACGTGGCACGTAAGTAAAATATTAAACGCAAGAAATGTAATAATGAAGAGGAAGTTAATTTTTGTAAGCAGTGTCTAATATAATAAATATTAAATAACTTGTTTTATACAGGTGAATTTCAATGGAAATAAAAGAATAAGAATGCCTGGAAATTATTATGAAACAAATTATCACCTTGAGTGGTCCACAAATCACAGGCTCCTTTAATGAGAAATGATAATAAAAATCTACCAAAATAAAAAAAAAACTTGGTCTTACCCAAGGAGTTCCATATATTTTTACTTTTTCTTAATTACTTATCATGTGTATGGGGGAACTCTTTTTAATACCCCATGCTGCCTTTTATATCAATTGTTACTCAGCGGGGAAAAAGGAATGAGCACAACAAACCTGTTTTCTATCTGAATAAGGATACTTCTGATGGCCTTTTCATTCCCATCAGTTAACAGAACTTCTTTGACATCTGCAGAAATAGCAACCTGGAAAAAAAAAGGAGCACAGCAAACAATGAGCAAATATGCTTGTCTGTGTGGAAGTGAAGACAGGAGTGACAAGCCTTCAGTATCATGCTTCCTCACCTATTTCTCTGTAACAATCTTCAATCTTTTTTCATTTTATGTCTGCATTATTTTAATCATTCAATCAAATCAGTCAATACTTTTATCATTCCATTTGCGGGAGCCTCTATCTTGCTATCATTCTGTTCGGTAATTGCATTGTGACAGCGGATGATGGTATTCTGAGAGGCTTTCATTTGTGGGCTTCTGTTTATCTAGTAGAGCCATCATACAAGGCTGTCACTCTGCCTTTCAGCTTGCTTCTGTCTGACTGCCTGATGCCCTTCATATAACTTTGCATTGCAGGCAGATGGCTTTGTGAGGGTAATTTTTTTGTGAGCTTTGACATGCTCGCACATTGGGCTGTAACCTCGACACATTGTGTAAGAGCGACAGGTTTGTCAAATGCCAATCAGTGTAACAATATGCTTTTATTTGTAGAGACATAAAAACTTGTCTAATGCACTGTGCTGCTACATAGTATCTCCTGAATACATGACTCAGAACCCAGAGAATGGGGAACGGCGTTCCTGAATGGCCAATCTAATTCAAAAGAATCTAATTACTGAGCGCTCTGGATCATGTTTGTTGGTGTAATAATGCAGGCAAAACATTAGCAGCTATATCATGGTGCTCCAACTGTGATTCGCCGGGCTATTCCTGTATCTTAGCAAATAGGACTATAATCTGAAAAAAAAATGCTTTCACTATGGCAAGGAAAGACCGTGCGAGGCCTGGAATGTCACGACAAGCGATATTGACTACACTGAGGTAAAATGTTTCCACTCATCGAGGCAACCATAAAATCAATATGATCCGAAAGTAAGTCAATCTAGAAGGTCTCTCAAGACCCGGCAGCTTGACCGCAGCTGATGCTGTTGACGGTTCTCTGACCCAGCAGTTGGAGGCCCTGGAACATTTTCCCTTTTGTTCCTCCCTCTGAATGGGATTGGAATTGAGAAAAGACCTACCATGAGCCCAGCCAAGCATGTCATGCCACCCCCTAGCTCACACACAGCAAGGTCCCTGAAAGAGAGAAAAGAAATGGTAGAACCCATACAAATTAGATGAAAATGGTCAGAGAGATATATATGTTACAAGAACAAATTGCCATCTGCAGTAAGAACGGCGCTACCAGGAAGTAGTAGAGACAAGACGAGGCTACCTCATGTTGTTTTGCGTTTTAAAAATAATTATGAAATAGAAAAGTCACAAAGCAGGCAAATCAGTGGGGGTTCCCTCATTAGTGTTCACTGCAACATTACCACCGCTGAGCTGAAAAATCTGAGAAGGTTCCCTTTTTTTCCCTTGTCAATGGTGCTGTCTTTTAGAACTAAACTAGCTAGAGTAGCGAAAGATAATTGTTAGGAAAGGATAACACTGTTAATCCACATTCATTCCTTCAAAAACAGTTAGACAAGTAAATGACGAATATATATGAGTGTGTATATACCTATATTATAGTCACATACACACAACACACACACACACACAAATAAGTGCAATCTTGAATTTAAAAAAAAGTCTAAAACAAACCGAAACATTTGGGAAAGCTGACTCACCCCCCTAAAGAACAATTACACAAAGAGCATTTAGCAATTAACACTTAAATCACAATTGACCCCAACACAGCACAGTGAATAAACAATGCAGGGACATAATGTGGTTACAGCCAGCAAACCCAGGCTAAAGTAATGAGTGGGCGCTGACTTCACTGCTCCCAAGTAAAGCGGCTCAGAGTTAAAGCTGACAGTCTAATGTGGCACTCTGCACTTACCTTCCTCTTTGTGCCTAAATATCAGTCCTCAACGTGTGACATTCTCGCCCTGGCCCGCTGCTCGCTGATTGGGGCTGCAGTCAAGCTTAAGCACAGCGAGATGAGCGAATGCCAGACTTCCAGGGCAGCTCACAGCCCAGATTCAGTACAGCCCTGTTCTTATTTTATATGCTTAGACTCTTAAGATTGTTTCTTCTTCCCAGTTTGGGAAGTTTATTACCTCACCAGAAGGGGGTGGGGGGGGGGAAGCGGCACTAAAAGGGAGGGAGAGAAGGAAAAAGAGGGAAGGGGAGGAGAAGAAGCCAAACGAGAACATTCATAGTCCGAAATACACTTAATGAGTATTTAGTTGTTCAAGCAATTATAGACTGGTTGGTAAATACGGACCCATGGAGCTTCAAAAAATGTATATTATTGACCCAGTCTTGTAAGTACATATTGTTAAAACACACTCACCATGATCACCAACAGCTTGTCTGGAATTGTAATGTGTTATTCAGGAAGTCTATATTGGAGGACTTTTATAAAATGAGGTTTAAAATGAAAAACCTATATTTTCTGGGTCTACCAAACATCTTTAGAATTTTTAAATAAAAGGAGGCTTTTTTTCTTCCTTTTTCCTAAATCTCATCCATGGGCTTGATCTATAATGCATGCTGACAGTTGAAAACATTTATTTCCGTAGCATGAATCTGTAATTACTATATTTTAAAAATACATGTTGTTAAGTATAAAACACCTTTAAAACCAGGGGTGGGATGGCATCTTTAAATAATAGCTGTGGGGTATTTATTTATGAAAAATTCTGTAGTAACTTCCCTAGTAGAAGTTTAAAGAATATCTTTATTGTTTTTTTGTTTTTTGACCTTTACCATCAGTAAGGATTGATTAGAGCTTCACTTTTGTTTCCCCAAAATCAAAGTGAAGTGAAAAGCTGTGAGTGGAAATCAAAAGTCTTTGACATAAAGCAACGAGCTTGCTGTGCAATATTAGCTCCCAAAGGCAGTTCAGATTTTTTCAGAAGCAACATGTTTCCACTGTGAACTTTTTTCCTGTCTTTCTGTTCCCTTCTTCCTCCCTCCCTCTCTCTCTCTCTCCCTCCCTCTCTCTGACCCTCCCTCCTTCCCTCTTCCTTCCTTTCTTTCCTTCTTTCTTATATTTTAAATAATTTAATTTGAAGAATGCAATTATAACAATTTTTAACATACAGACACAATACCCATAATGGGCTAAACAAGGTATCTGTAAGTGCAGCTTTGTACCTGAATACGTCGCGGTGCCTGAGGCAGTAGTAAGCCAAAACCTCTTCGGCCGGCCAGATGCCTGGAAAACACAAGGGGATAGGTGTTGTTTGTTATCGTTGTAGAGGTCTCTTCTGCACTCATTCTCTGCAGTCATTCTTTCAAGAAATAGCTTTAAAAAATAATGTTCAGTATAAGCCATTTCAACGTGAATCAAATTTAACATGCTTATTATGAGTAATGTATCTATCACATGAGTTTCTTTTGTTGCTGATTTTTTAATGCTGAGATGGATAACCCGGGAAAATAGTACAATATTCTAAATAAATCTTACCAAATTTCAGCCACAACAAAACAGCAAATACAGTAACAGCCAAATTACCGATATCAAAAATTACAATTTAATGGTATTTCAGGTAGATCTTAGGGAAGCACACAGGCACCTTCTTTGCGGCCAGTTCATAAGCACCAGTTGAGCCCTGCTGTATGCGCAACCCATGTTAAGCAAAAATAAATGGGAAAGTCACCTACAGGAGCAAATAAAACCGCTGAGGTCATTATACCTTTTTGTTTGATTCCATACAATTTTTAAAAATATGCACAGTTTTTCCTTTTCTTTAATTAATAAAAATCAAACTAGAATGTAAAATTAAGAAATTTAAATTTCACCAGCTCTGGTATATCTTTAAATTTAACAATGACCCTGCCCACTAAACTCCACGGACGGGCATTTTCTAAAACCATCATCTGTGAATCATTTATTTAGGAGACTGAAATAGTCTTCCTGAAGGAATATGAACCCGCTGACAGAGGAGACAAGCACGTTAGGAAATGACAGTTCCTATTGGTTGTCACGTGATGGTAGGGTTACGAGCGCTTTTAATTTTTCTTTACCCTTTTTGTATTTCCCTAAATTTTTCGATAGATGTGTATCACTCTTATAATCAGAGTGAAAGACAGCCTTATAAAGACTAGGCTTTCCCCGTAGTCAGACTGCAAGCTCAGGCCGGCCCGGACACCCCGCACGGCCCGCGGCCGCGTAGGCCGGCCGGTCCTGGGGAGGAGCGGGGAAGGCGCGCTGTCTCAGCTCTCCACACGCTTCTGATAGGTCTTCATGCAAAACTGAACACCTAAACACACATTAAAAAAAAAATCCCAGATGCATCTCTATCTTTGAGGAATAAGAAATCCAAACATTGCAGGAAAAAGAATGTAAAAACAAAAGGTAAAATCTTAAAAGAATCAGTGGGCAAATATTCTGAACGGCAAAGAGATGTGCTGGGTATTTGACTCCACAGAGCATGTGCTGCAGGAAAGCCTGATCAGGCGCACTCACTAGCTCAGCAACCATGACCTTTCCGGTGGAAATGACATGTGGGGGAGAAACAATGTAAACAAACAAAAAGTGGTTGGAGTCATATTTAGGAATAAAGTCAGAGAGGCTGTGGCGTGCAGCGGCTAGGATCATAGGTACTCTGGAAGCAGGCTCACTGGGCTCCATCCCTGCTCTGTATTTCCTGGCTGAGTGACTTTGGGTAGGTTACTTAACCTCTCTGTGCTTCTACAGGTTCATCGTCTACAAAATAACATAATTGTGGTTTCAACTTCACAGGACTTTTTTGTGAGGATTAAATGAGTAAAATACATGAAATGTATTTAGAACAGTTCCTAACTCATAACAAGCTCAAAGGAAATTCATCGTTTTTAATGTTATTCTCCTGCACAGGGGGAGAGAGGACTGGGAGAGAGAATATGTGAACCCAAAACAATTGTCCCAACAACTAGAACAGATGAACCTTTGACCTACCCATGAGCTTTGGCACATCCCCCAAGTTCCAATACCTGGCACACTTCCACATAAAAATAACTCTATAAAGGCTGAAGGTCACAAAATTCTCTGAAGAGCAAGCCCAGGACAGTGCCCATACCAGGTGGATATAATCACCACAACAATGAATTTCTTTATACCTTTGGTAGAGGGTTTGAGGTTTAAAAAATAATGACAGGGTATTATTGAATACCCTAATTTACTCTAGGGTAAATAATGAAGGGTATTTAACTAAAATTCAAGCCTAGGTTAAGCACAAAATGTGACTTCTCAAACACATAGTTTTTTAAAATAGTTTTATAATTTTCTTGAAAAAATACAGAGATTGGTTTTAAATAAGTTAAATACAAAAAATGCAAAGCACAGAGTTAAAAAATGACCTAAAATTCCACCACTAGTATATAATCACTACTAACATTTTGGACACCATTTCAAAAAAAATCTAAGCATAAATACACTATACACAGATGGGATTTTATTAGACAGGTATCCAATTTTGCCCCTATCAATATGTGATGGATAGATCTCGATGGCAATAAAACTATACTATACCTCTATTATTATGTTTAATGACTGCCCAGATAATTTATGTCTCCATAGTCATTTCTTTCACCAGTTTCCTCCTGACAGACATTTAAGTTAGTTTCCAAGTTTTTTGGTATTATGAGGTTATGAATAGTCATACAATGAAGGCCATCTACCCCCTCCCCACCAAATGATTTTTCTCCTTCGGTCAAATATCCAGAAATGGGAAATCTAGTCAAAGGTTGAGTACATTTCGAATTCTGACATATCAAACTGTCCTTCAAAAATGTTTACCAAACTGCACCCCTAATATGAGCATTTATTTGCCGAGATAGGGTTTTGACAACTTATTTTTTCTACCATGTTATATTTTAAAATTTGTCTCAGTGCAAATCAAAACTACTGGCTATAATAAAAAAAAAGTCAGGAAATAAATGTTGATGAGGATGTCGAGAGATTATATACAATGGTGCAGCTACTTGGGAAAACAATCTAGCAGTTCATCAAAAAGTTAAGTGTAGAACTACCATATAATTTCACTCCTCAGCTTATACCCAGGACAGAAAAAAACATCCACACAAAAACTTGCACACAAGTATTCATGGCAACATTATTCACAATAGTCAAAAAGTGGAAACAACCCAAATGCCCATAGACTCATGAATGGATAAACAAAACATGTGATGTCCATGACATGGAGTATTATGTGGCAATAAAAAGAAATAAAGTACTGAGTCATGCTATAACATGGGTGGAACATGAAAATATTATGCTAAGTGAAAGAAGCCAGGCATGAAAGACCCTGTGGTGTGTGTTTCCCTCTACATGACACATCCAGGGCAGGCAGATCCATAGAGACAGAGCACAGGCTGGCGGTTGTCTGGGGCTGGGCTGGCTGAGAGTAAATAAGGACTGACTGCCACTGGATACAGGTTTCTTTTAGAGGTGACGACATACTCTGAGACCGACGGTGGGGACGGCTGCACAGCCCTGTGAATGTGCTCCAGACAACAGGGTGGGTGGTATGGCATGTGAATTACATTTCTATAAAGCTGTTACTTTAAACAGTGTTCTTATTCCTGTTTGTGGAAATATAATGGCCTTTTGAAAAGGGTTTTATTTTTAAATGTGTTATACATATCCACAGTTCAGAGAGCCACTGAGCTCCCTGAGACTGGTTCAGACGAACAGTCCCCAGCCCCTCTCCCCCATATTCCTCCTTCCCCGGACACTGCTGCTTTCAATTATTTTAGCTGGTTCTTCAGGTGCTTGCTTCCACATTTCTACATAATATCTTTGTATTTTTACTTTCTGATTTTTCAGTTTTAGGTAAGATCTATGGAAGAGAAGTATTTTTCTTTTTGCTTTGATCTCCACTCCTCTCCTTGCACCACACATACCAGGCTCCTTATCCATCCATCCACCACCATCTTCCCAGCACAGATAGATATATTATAATTTTGGTAAGATCTCTACTCATTGTCAATTTTATTCAGATCATGAAATAAAACAGTCATTTAGTAAACTATGATTACTTTTTCTCTCAACTATAATATTTTTTCCGCTGGCTTTTAAAATTGTCTTCATGTCCCCCTTCATTCGCTAAGATTGTTCTTCAGCTTCAAAATGCTATTGTCAGTTTCTCCTCTTGATACACACTCTCCTTCACACTGGGTATGCCATCAGCCTCATGGTGCAGCTGACCTGCCTGGTCCGGACTGAACACTCTATGCCTGGCACCCAACCCATATCCTGGAATCAGTCTCCACTGTTATTTCGGGCTTCCCTTCGCCCTTCTCTTGTGCTGCATCTCTCGTCTTCGCTATCCTTTGTGTCCCTTTCTTGGTTTACTTCTTCGTTTTACTGCAACACATCCTGCAGTAACAACTTCTTCTTATTTTTTTTAAAGATTGTATTTATTTATTTTTAGAGAGAAGGGAAGGGAAGGAGGAAGATGGAGAGAAACACCGATTGGCTGCCTCTTGCACACCCCCAACCAGGGACCTGGCCTGCAACCCAGGCATGCGCCCTGACCAGGAATTGAACAGGCGACCTTTCAGTTTGCTGGATGATGCCCAACCCGCTGAACCTCCAGTAACATCTTGAGAAACAGCGAGTGGAAGCTACATGTTTGAGAACTTGCATGATTCAGTGGGCAATTTCAATCTGAAAACTCCATGTTCTTCAGTTTTTTTAAAGTTTCTTGGGAGGTCCCTTTGATTATCTGCTTACTGACGTTTTTATTTGTCTCTCTTCTCTGGACCTCTTATTATTTGGATGTTGGAGCTCCTGAACTCATCCTCTAATTTTCTTAACTTTTCTTTCCTGCTTTCCATCTCACTGTTGTTTACTTTCCTGGAAATTTCCTCAAGTTTACCTTCTAATCTTTTCACTGGTCTTTTCATTTATGCTATTATTGCTAAGGTTGTTTTCTGAATATTTCTCTCTTAGAGCATCATATTCCTTCGTGTTTTATGAGTGACATCTTTTAATTATTTGAAAATATTAACTATAGTTTGTTTTTAGTTTTCTTATCTTTATATAGTCTATTTTCTTCCTGTTGCTTTTTTCTGTCTATAGGTTTTGGTACCTGTCACATTGAAAGCTCTCCCCAGATATCTGGTAATTATTTGTTGTTTGCTTAAATGTAATTGTTGGAAGATAAAAAGGCTGATTGGAGGGGAGGAGGGCCGAGTGTGTTTGGGCCGAATGTGGGCAAAGAGGCTCAGCGTTCAGCCTGCATGTGTTCACCTCATTCCTCCACCCCACGTCTGGCACCCTGTCTTACTGGAACTGTGCCTGGTGCCCCGCCATCCAAAAACTGAGTTTAACCCTCTGCAGAGATTAAACCCCCTCTTCTGTTTGGAGGACAGAAGGGGAAGTTGCCCAGTAGCCTGGAATGGGGATATAACTGCTTTCTAAACAATTTCTAATCAATTCTCCTTCCTTCAACCTCCTTCAACTCCTGTTTTTAGAATCTCCTGGTGCCACCAACTCCGGAGCCTTTCGATGTCTCAGAATTATGAACTGGGTGAGTTCTCAGCTTTCCCAACTGCTGGCTCGCTCATATCTACTAAGTCGATTACTTCTCATTCATTTGCTTCTCAGTTTCCAAATTAGGCTCTTGTATGTTTCCTTATTTTATCATCCGTGTAGATTTATGTCTTAAAAACATCTTGTTACAATGGTTTAGTGACGTTTCTGGAAGGAATTAATTTTAATGCATTGTTCAATCTCCAAGCTTACCTGAAATCCAGAAATGTATGATCTTTTGAATGTAATTGTGGGATAGTTCTTGAATCTAAGATACACGATAATATTCTTATCTCTCACAGGGTGCATCTTAGCATAAATACTTCAAGCTCTGAGTGTTGGGATTTTCATACACGTTCTAGAGAACAGTGACTAGCAAGGCCTCATGGAACAGAAAGAAACTCACTGGAAAAGTGATGAAAAGAACTTCTAGGAGGATATACAAGTCAAGGACACTAACGTGAGGTTTTTCCATACTGAAGATTTTCATACTCCATTAATAATACTGTAGGGTTCTATCAATCAATTACTGGCACTTTTGCTCTATTCCTGACGTCACCCGGTGAAGCAGAGCAGAATGGCCGAAGAGGCATTTACAGGGGCTAAGTATTGATTCCCCCCAAAGCCTCACAAAACATTTTAATTAATGGTTTCTTCTAGATGATGTTTTCTAAAACACATGTCATGAATTAAGATACTTCCATAAAAATTATTCAGAGGCAGAATTTCCTATTTCGTAGTGCTTTCTGTATAACTCCTAAGAGAAGAGGCCTCCTTCGCCCATTGGGCCTCCATAAAAGGATCGGCTAAAGCACTCCGTCTGGAAGCAGAGGAACACTTCCATGGTCATTTGGTTTCATTCGTTTTCCACCCAACAAAGGGTTGGTTCCCTGCAGATGCTTCCGTCAGAACCGGGCCTGTCGAATCTGCTAGGCTTCAGAAGCCTGCAGACAGCCCATGCTAAAATCTGAAAAACTAGTTGTCTATGTAGCAATAATGAGGGGGGAATTTGGTGATATGACCTAGTTCATGTATGTGACCACTTTTCTGTTGTTTGTGAAATAGTTCAGAATGATTTTAAATGCCAAGTTCTGTGTTTAATCTGGAAACAAACAACACATTCATTATGAACCTGACTTAAAGGCTGAAAAATCCTAAAATTAACTAATATTAGACAACTTGATATCTATTAAACCTCTGTTGGGAATACAGAAAGGGAATTTACATATAGAATTAGGTAACTTCGTATCTAATGAAGTTAGATATTAAGAGACAGGCATCCATAGCTAAGCACGGGTCCTTCTAGATCACTTTCATTTGAGGGCCTTCTGCTTGCCCACACTTCATTTCCAAGGGGCCCTGGGACCCCGACAGCCAGCCTCCAACACGTGGCGCTGCGGACTCCCCCTCTCACTCCAACCCTTGTACCGGCCCCACGACGACAACACATCCCGCTCTCACAGCGGAGGGACGTGCTTTCTGTGATCAGCTAACGTCCACCCAAAACAGCTTCTTCCTTCACCTTCCTCAAAGTAAATGATCACGCCCATCCTGCAGCTGTCAGAGGTAAGGCCTCTCTCAAACCTGAGAGTCAAATGGAGAGGCCAACACACCCCCAGAGAAGCTGCAGATTCTTCTGGGAGAAGAAATGCACTGGTGGATGTTACTAAAATGCAAAGCTGCTTGTGCTGGAATGGGTAGGTAAGCCTTCCAGACTGTTTTTAGTGTTTACACTCTGTCTCCTTTTTCTTAAACCTTTCTGCTTTGTCATTGATAATACAGCCCAGAATGGAAATCCATAAGAGAACTACAGAATGCTCCATACATTTTTATTGGGCACCTACCATGTTCCAGGCCCTGGGGATCGCTAGCACGGTCACTAGAGCTCTGGCCTAGTAGGAAAGGAGATGTTAAATAAATAATTACACAACTAACATGCCTAATGACAATTGTAATAAATGCCATGGGGGAAAACTGCATGGTACCTCCGAGAATGTATCATGGGGGTCCTGACCTGGTCAGCGGGGAGGTTGGAAGAAGTCCACGAGGGAATGCATCCCTGCAGAAACGAAGGTAAGCTGAGACCAGAGGATGAAGAGCCAAGTAGAAGAGAAAAAGGGGGCCAGGGGTAGAGGGAATAGCTCTTGGAGGGAGAGCCTCATGAATTAAAACTTTGAAGAGAAGAGCTTGATTTCTAGGAATGGAAATAGGGTCCATGGAGTTGCAGAATAAATGACAAAGGGAAAGAGAGAGTAGTTAGGGGCCAGATCCCACAAGCTCAAAGGCCACGCTAAGAATTTGAATTTGCACCTTAAAATAAATGACACAGTTTAGGCAACAGAGTGGTATGATCAGCTTTACATTTTAGGAGATAAGCCTGGCTACTGTAGAGAGTATAGATGGAAAGGGGGCAAAAGCAGGCAGGCAGGCAGGGGAAATTAAGTAGAAGGCTACTACAATTACAGAGGTGTTGATGGTGGCTTGGGTGACGGTTACAGGATGTGAAGCAAAGTGAAAAGATCTGAGCCATATTTAGAAGGTACACTGACAAAACTTAATAGTTAATTAGATGAAGGGGGTGGTAAGAGAGAAGGAAGTGTCAAGAATGACTTAGGTGTATGGCACGAATAAGTGGGTGGATAATGTACCTCAAAAGAATATAGGATTTTTCTTCAGTTTTATAGGAACTGGGGAGGCTGAATTCATGGTGAAAAAAACACTAACGGGGGGTCTAAGCTCCAATTCTGCTCTGTCACTAACAATCAGGGTGATATTGGGAAGTCATTTAGCCTGTCTGAGCTTTTGAACCCTCATCTGCAAAACAGTAGGTTTGGATTAGATGATATCTAGGAAGACTTCAGGCTATAAAAAGCTATAATAGAGAACCAGAGCTCATGCTCTGGAGTTAGACACAGAGTTCAATTTGAATATTGGCTCTTCTGGTTGCATGACCTTGAACAAACTACTTAAACTTTTTCTGCCTCATTTATTAATCTACTCATTCATTCACTCATTCATTCATTCAACACATAATTATTGGTACCAAAGCCTGTTCTAGAAGCTAAGAATATAGACGTGAATAACACATAACTCTTGCCCAAACTTCAATAGGGGCAACAGGGAGTCACGTAGATAATTTCAGATAGTAATGAATGTTGCAAAGAAAATAAAACACTCATGAAATGGAGAATAACTGGGGGCTGGGGGGAGGTGCTACTTTAGCCAGCATTGTTGGGTATTCTCAGTTCCCTTATCTGTTAAGTGTGAGCAAAAAAACCACCTAATCATAGTGCTGTTAGGATGATCAAATGAGCTTGTAGGGCATTTAGAACAATGCCTAGCAAATAATAAAGCTGTTCTTTTTTTAATGTTAGCTATTGATGCTGCTGCTGTTGCCATTGTTACTATTTTCGACATGTTTTTTCCCCGAGGATATTTTATTAATCGTGATTATATTTTTATGATATTTTCCGGGAGATTATTATTTCCAACAGAATACCCACAAAATCAACCCAAAACTTAACCTTGGGAAATTCTGCCCTAGCAATGGGCACTCTGAATTCCATATACAAGGACAACACTTGTTCTATACTCATCCTCCCAATCTGGCCCGTTTACCAATGTGCGCTGGACGGTAAATTACTAAGAGTGGGCCTCCTTCTGCTGGCGGAGCCAGACCCCAGAGAAGGCGGGCACACCGCCCAGTGAAAGGGAGTGCTCACACAGCCCAGCACTGCGAGCAGGTGGAGTGGCCCTGGGACATTCTAACATTTGTTGGCTGCTGACTGCTGCCCAGGCGCTAGGAGGTGGGTGAGGAAATCAAGGCACTGAGAGGGGAGGCAGCCACCTTCTGAGTTGGGCAGGTATTTTGTCGCAGAGTTGGAATGTGAAATCAGGTCATCTGACTCGAGAGAGCAGTGACTCTTCACCTCTAGATCGCAAAGCACACTAGACTGCAAACACAAGGGCTTGCATAAGTCGTTTTGCCATCTCACTTCTTCTCCTGGTCCTGGAGAAGCTATCTGAAGCTACAGGACAGACAATGAGCCCATGGAAGGAGGAGAAATAAAGGGGCACAAAAATTAACCCAGTGTTTCAACAGTACATCTCTATCAGCCACAAAAGGGGTTAGTTTATGGGCATGATTTGATTATAATATATTAAAATTTCAAAGTTAAATTTTAATTTGGAGACCTATGAATGTGACGGTCCGGGAAAGATGGAAGGAGCCCCAGCCCCACACTGACGCTGAGGCGGGAAGGGAAGACGGTCCCGGGAGGCCCAGCCACCAGCCTGGGGGTCAGTTTTAAAGCAGATGCCAGGAAAGCAACTAGATGACAGATGGGAAAAGGAGACAGAACAAGGAAGACGCTGAAGTACCACTGAGGAAAAGGAGCGCACCGCAGCCCCAGCTTCAGCGGCTCATACAGCGAAGACATGAACTTGGGAGACAGCTCTGAGGCTTATTATCTTTGTGACCTTAGTAAGTCACTTAAACTCTCCTTACAACAACTCCTCATCTGGAAGTGATAATACTGTCTACTCTATAAGTATAGATGTGAGGATGAAGTGAATTAGAAGAGTGCAAAATCAGTGCAGTTAAGGTTTATCATGGTTATTGTGTTATTCTTAGCATTATGTATGGAACGCTCACTACTTGGCAAACACTGAGCTGTGCACTTTTTGTGGAATATCTCATTTAATCATGAAAACAACCCTATAGGGTACGTATTGTCACTACGGCCAGCTAAGGGGCACCCCGAGGGACAGGAAAGCATAGAGAGCTGAAATGGCATAGCCAGGATCTGAGCCCACACACTCAGCCTTCAGAGCGCAGGTTCTTAAGCCCTGCTATATTGTCCCAACCCTGGCGACTGGTCCTGGAATCCAGAGAACTAGTTCTTAGTTCTCATGACAAGGTCAGTAACTAATTTGGGACTCCAGTTTCGAGAATAAAATGGAAGGGTGGAATTTCTGAGGTCTCTTTCATCTCTAAATCTAATGACTATAGATGATTAGATCTGCATTTCCAAACAAAAGTCATACAATTGTCAGTGGGCTGTAGCCTGTGACATTTTAAATGTTTTTTTAAACCCTCACCTGAGGATATGTTTATTGATTTGAGAGAGAAAGAGAGAAGGAGAGAGAGAGAGAGAGAGAGAGAGAGAGAGAGAGAGAGAGAAACATTTATATGTTTATGTGAGAGAGAAACACCAACCAGTTGCTTCCTGTACACACCCTAACCACAGATCGAACCCACAGCCTAGGCATGTGCCCTGACCGGGGATCAAACACACAACTTTTGGCGCATGGGACCAGGCTCCAACCAACTGAGCCACCCAGCCAGCGCTAGCTCATGACATTTTAAAGAAAATCAGATTGGTTAAAAAAATGTTATTTGTACTATAATCTCAAATTTAAATCCTTACCAGGAAATGTTTTAGATAGTATTCAAAACAGTCTTAGAGAAGGCAAGTCTTCACGTCTATCTTAATTGAATTAGAACTGCCTTTGTTAATTAAGTCTCACAGCTTCAGAAAAGAGCTGCACTACATCTACATATTCAAGTCGTGATAGCTTTTTATTTAGTTAATCTAGCATATTAATAACAGACAACTTCCTCAAATACAATTTTCCCTCCTAACACTGAGCACATTTCTTAGCTACATGCAGTATTTTTTTCCCCAAACATATTTTCTCCTCTTCAGGGCAACGAACTACTGTTTAGACAGAAGACATTTCCCCACGGTCTCCCAGCACAGGTAGAACACTCCCCAGTGCCAGCTCTCTGGGCCCCGGAGAGAAGATGCTCCATCCGCATTGGTTACAGAGGATGTCTGAAAGTGAGAGAGGTGGAGAAAGTAGGAAAAGCGAGAAAGTAGGAAAGGTGGACCCAGAGAATCAGACCAGAGAGCTCCTAGCAGAAGAAGAACCATGATCTGGATTTTCTCAGAAACAGCACAGCCTTCCCGTAGTAAAAAATAAAGAGGGGAAGGAGGACACGGAGGAGGGGGAAAAAGATTTTCATTCCCCTCCCCAAGTAACACCCTCCCACAAATCTTGCTATGCTCAGTTTCCTCTGAGTGGGGCGATCAGCCATCATTTTGATATCACCGTTTTTCCTTTAAAGCACAACTGTGGTCCTGGCTGGTGGGAGTGTGGTTCCATGCACCAGAGGGTTGTGGGTTTGATTCCCAGTCAGAGCACATACCTAGGTTGTGAGTTTAATCCCCAGTCTGGGAGCATATGGGAGGCAACCAGTTGAGGCTTCTCTTTTGCTCCAATGTTTCTGTACCCACCCCCTTCCTCTTCTTATTAAGAAAAAAAAAAGCAATGAAAAAAATGTTCTTGGGTGAGTATAAAAAAAATTTTTAAAGGAAGTTGCTGAACTTTACAAAATAAAATAGGACTGTGCTGTGTCTTGAAATGTCATGTAAGAGCAGCAGTGTGTCACATGGAGCAGAACAAAGAAGAAAGCATTATAAATCATTGTAATTGTTCCTTATCTCAGCCAGTGAGCCACTTGGCCAACGTGACACACACTTGGTACTCGGCACACCAAAGAGGAGTAAGGAGAGTGTGGCTCCCACCTCCCGAGCTCCCAGCGATTCACGAATCTGATTTCTAAAGCAGCTTCCTGCCTGAAAGTCCAGCTTTATCTCACTTCCAGGTGAGCACTGTGGCTGAATTCAAAACAAATTGAAAGCCTTGTGTTCCATGTGGAGTAGTACATGCCCTGCACATTTGGGAAAGCCTCGCAGGAGAGAAAACCGTATTCGGGAGGTGCGCACTACATGTGCCAAAGTGATGCCGTACATTCATTAAATGGCCTGGGTATTAGGATTCTTACACAACAGGACTTATTTATCAGGGTTGTTTGGGAGATGCACAC